CTAGTGGTTATTCGCTAAATGATATCCTCCTCAAAGGTCCTACTCTTCAACCGGAACTTTTTGACATTTTGCTACGCTTTCGATTATATTCATTTGTTTTCACAACGGATATACAAAAGATGTACAGACAGGTTAAAATCAATCCTGATCAAACCTTTATGTTAAACATACTTTGGCGTGACTCCCCGGAAAAAGATATTGAGTGCCTGGAACTGCAAACAGTTACATATGGAACTAAAAGCGCCAGTTTTCAGAGTACTCGCTGTTTAATGGAACTGGCAAATACTCATCAAACTGAGTATCCCCTGGCCAGTGACGCTCTTAAAAATAGTTGCTATATCGATGACATTCTCTATGGTGCTAATGATGAGCAAACTCTTCTCAAAGCTCATAAGGAAATAACTAGTTTGCTTGGAACAGCATGTATTTCTCTACATAAATGGTGTTCTAGCTCGGACTTGTTTCTAAAAAATATTTCTTCTCTCTCTTCGAACTCTTCTTATGTCATAGCTCCAGATAATTGCTCTAATAAGGTTTTAGGTTTATGCTGGAATCCTGTTCTTGACACGTTTTCGATCTCTCTTCCAGATTTCACCCTAAAGAACTCATATACTAAAAGAGAAGTACTTTCAATGATTGCCCAAATATTTGATCCTCAAGGTCTTATTAATCCCGTTACAGTTGTCGCTAAACTTATAATGCAAAAAATCTGGATATCCAAAATCAGTTGGAACGATACCATTGACGCAGATACGTTACATGAATGGCTAAGTTTTATTAGCAGTCTCTCTCATTTTAAGGACTTAAGTATACCAAGATGTCTCTTTTTGAGTCAAGAAATCACTGGTGTTGAGGTTCACTCATTCTCAGATGCAAGTTTAAAGGCTTATGGAGCTTGTATCTACTTACGTGTGACCTATAAATCAGAACAGGTGTCTTGTTCCCTTCTAGCATCTAAGAGTCGCGTTGCTCCGCTAAAACCCTTGACCCTTCCAAGATTGGAACTCATGGGTGCGCTATTGTGTAGTAAACTCACAGCAAGGATTGCTAATATCGTTAAAGAAAAATTATCTCGATTAGACTCCATAAATATGTGGTCGGATTCAGAAATTGTTCTCGCTTGGCTTCGTTCACATCCTTCTCGTTGGACCCAATTTGTAGCAAATAGGGTCGCACAAATTTTAGATAATTCCCCTGATGCTCACTGGAGGCACGTACGATCCAAAGAGAATCCTGCCGACATACTCTCCCGAGGAATGTTACCCTCTGAGATATTAAACTCTTCCTTGTGGTTTCATGGTCCTCCATTTTTAAATCAACTGCATTTGGATTTATTAAAATACAACCCAAAGGGTTATACCTCCAAGTTGCCTGAAGAAAGGAAAGTCATTCTTCATGCTCGAAATGATACAATAGATTTTTTCACCTCCCTTTCTGATAGGTTCTCTAATTTTTCAAAGTTTGTAAGAACTTTAGCCTATATGTTTAGATTTGTTAATAATGCTAAACCGCTTTCTCGCAAGTTAACGGATACCCTTGAAATCACCGAACTTCAAAACGCAGAACTTAAGATTATTAAGATGCTCCAGTATTCTAACTTCTCGAGTGAGATTTCTGATCTTAAGAAAGGTAAAACTCTAACTAATAAGTGTCTGTTACCTCTAAATCCCTTTTTGGATGAGAATGAAATGCTCCGGGTAGGAGGTCGCCTTGGAAACTCAGACGTTACCTTTGATCAAAGATACCCCCTTCTCCTTCCCTCAAAAAATCGTATAGTTCGTCTCATTCTTCACAGAGAACATGTCAGACTTTGTCACTCAGGGCCTCAAAATACTCTGTCCCAAATTCGTCTCAAATATTGGCCTTTAAATGGACTACGAGAAGTCAAAAAGGTCATTCACCAATGTATGGTTTGTTTTAAGTTTCGTGCCAAACCCGCTACCCAGATTATGGCAGATTTGCCAAAGGAACGTTTAAATTCCTCTCGAGCATTCACTCATGTTGGATTAGATTTTGGCGGTCCCTTTCAGATAAAGGCTTCCAAACTTCGCAAGGCTCCTTTAATAAAATCGTATATTGCTCTTTTCGTTTGCTTGTCGACTCGAGCTGTTCATATTGAAGTCGTCTCTGGCCTCTCTACAGAGACGTTTATTCTCGCTCTAAAACGCTTTATTAGTCGTAGAGGCCTCCCTCAGACAATATTCAGTGACAACGCTACGAACTTTCTTGGTGCTCGTAACCAGCTGTTTGAACTCTATAAGTTTTTAAAGGAAAAGGAAAGCTCCCGTTCTATTCAAGAATTTTTGGCCTCGTCTCATATTCGCTGGAAAACTATAGTTCCTCGAGCCCCTCATCATGGTGGTATTTGGGAAAGTGCTATTAAAAGCGCAAAGCATCATATGCGTAGACTCCTGGGTAATCTTAAGCTTACTTTCGAAGAATTCACCACAGTCCTCGTTCAAATTGAAGCTGTGCTCAATTCCCGGCCTCTTTGCTCCCTTTCAAGTGACCCCTCTGATTTTACTTATCTTACTCCTGGACACTTCTTGATTGGACAATCTCTCACCTCATTCCCTGAAAAAGAAGTGATCCACATTCCCGAAAACAGACTAAATTTATGGCAGCATTTGTCCAAACTCCAACAAGTGTTTTGGAAAAAATGGTCTATCGACTATTTGAACAGACTTCAAAATCGCCCTAAATGGTTTCTCTCTCATAAGAACCTAGAACCCAACGATCTCGTCTTGTTGATTGAAGACAACACTCCTCCTCTTTATTGGGTACTAGCAAGAGTGATTGAGGTCTTTCCAGGAAAGGATGGGAGAGTAAGAATTGCCTCGGTCAAAACTAAAGATGGAGTCTTCAAGCGCTCTATTACCAAATTGTGTCCTCTACCCAATGACGATTTAAATTAAGTTAGTATAAGATTATAATTGTAGTGTATTTTCTCTTCCTCGTGCTCTCTTGTCGTAATGTTATCTGTCTATTTGTGTTAAAGCCAGCGCTTCAACGGGGGCGAGTATGTTGTAAAAACAACATTTTATATTAATTTTAGTATAATTTTTAGTTCACACAAATATTAGTTTGGATTTTATGTTAAAGACTGTACTTTTTGCCTGCAAACTATTTGTGCCATAAATAGCTTATAAGGGTTGTTTAAAGTGATAAAACTGACGCCGCCTTGTCGGAAATTTTAGGTAAAAATTCAATTCAAAAATCTCTCGCAGATGTGACCAGTGTCTCAAGCTGTTTGGTACTAGTAGCCGGTACCTAAGCTCTCTCTTCGCCGCCAAAATGCAGTGAAATGTGTATTTGTTTTCGCGATAGCTCGCGCGCCCCTAAACGCCGATAGAATAATGGACAATGTTAACTCTTTCGTTAGTATTAGTGCTTGTGTAAATAGTCTCTTGTTATTAAATGTGTAGATTCAATTAATTACGCTTATTTTTTCTCTAAGTACAACCCCTATTAAATCAAACACATAAAGAACCAGCGCCTTGAAGTTCTGCTTGCATATATCGAAGGAAACACTCTTGTACAGTCCATGGTCCTAAAATATTTGGAACTGTACACGCACGGGGAACGGAATTTAATAAGCTTTCCCCACAACAATTGGTGGAAATCGGAGAAAACTCCATCAATATTTCTCTTTTTTACATTTCGATTTAATTTTTTATATATCTTGTAATCTTCCTCCTTTCTCGTTAATATCCATTTCTGATAAGCAGTTTTCTTCTTGTTTACTAACGTTTGCATATTCTTCGACCATCATTCTTGATTTTTTGTTTCATGTTTGTCTTTATACCCCAAACCTTCACTTGCAGCCTCATAAATGTATTTTTTAAGTTGCTGGTATAATTCTTTCGTTGATATATTTTTTCGATCCACCTTTTGTAATTTTGTGGCCAGTCGTAATTTGTAAAGAAATTTTGTTGAATCTTCTTTTAATCTTTCTAGGTTATATTTAGGGGATGCTACTTCCTGCCCCTTTTCTATATTCTGTACCTGAGTGTTAGCGATAGTTAACTATCACTGCTATCACGTTGGCTATAAGCAAACGATGGTCGGATCCACATTCTGATTTCTAGTAGGTTTTAACCATGTAAATTTGTGGATGTCTCTATGTTGAAAAAAATCCATTCATATTTCCTTTTTCCTTTTTCTTGATCATAGTAAGAATACATATATCTATTTTTCTTTCCGCTAATTATTTGAATACTTCTGCTTTTTTGTTTCTAAGTCCTTGTGCGTTCCATGTAGCTAATATCATTTTCCTTTTACAATATACATTTTAAATGTATATATAGGTACTCTATGTACATATATATATACATATATACATAATGTATAAAGAAGACGAAGGCCGGTATGGCAGTCGGATCTGATGATATTTCAGCAGAAGTCGGTAAATTAGTAAATTACTTGGCCACTTCGGTGCTCTTATTCTCGCCGTGTTATTTAACATCATTATCTAAGACAAAGTTCTTAACTCTTGACTGACCAGCAAGACTATACCAATTTGAAAGGGTAAAGTTGACATCGCAGAATGCTCCAACTATCGACTTTTATGCCACTTCATGAAAGTATTAAAAAAAAGCTGATAGATACTCAACTGAGAAACATCATTTGCATCAATCCCAACCTTTGTGGATTTCCAGATTTCCAGAAAGATCTGGAAAAGGCCTTCGACCGCAGGCTGCATGACCTTATCTGGCATGCCCTCAGATCACACAACGTTCTTGGAGTCTACTGATCATACACGTCTAAGCTCCATCCGATGCCTTTCAGGAATATCTCTCTCCCTTAATAGGATATTTGATGGGAACCTGTGTTCCTACTTTGTTTATAGTTAAAAATCTATTAGCCAAATATACCTACTATGGTTGTTTTAGTATCTTTACAAATGGTTTTAAAACTACTAGTTATCCTTAGTTACTCACTACAAATTTATTAAAATGAAACGGGTACTAGAAATTAATTGGACACTCTATAACGAATGTTTAAGTTAGTTCTTCAGATACAGAAGACACATTGGCACAAACTGGTAGTGGAGAAGACCACTTTCCATCTGGCATACATTTCAGGTTTTCTTCAGAATTCGTTGCAAAACCTTCGTTGCAAATGATGCTTAATTCATCTCCTGGATCGTAAGCAAACTTGGTCGGAGCAATGAAACCGTTTTCTGGTTCTCCAATGTATGAACATTTTGGTCGGCCTGCAATAAAACCACGTTATCAGATTTGATAAAAAATGTTTTTATTTAATACTATAGTGTATTTTTATGTATGAGAGAGTAATAAAGCAATAAATTATGTATGCAAATCCCTAAACTGTTGATACGGGTGACTCAATGAAAAACAGATATTTGTCAACAAGTTTACAGAAGTATATAGGAAAACAATTTTAAATTGAGTATGACCACCAGGTATAAAGGTTGGAGCAGAATAGAATACGATAGTTGTGAGGGTTACTAATCCCTAAATAAGGTTGCCAGTGTCGGAGTGATGGAGGTTAACAGGTACTAATGAATTTGCAAGAAATGTAAGATGTTTATTTTATTGGTTATATTTAACCAATAAAAGTTTAATAAGTACCTACCTATTTGCAAAATAAAGTTTAATTCTTTAGATCAAATAAAACGTTTTATTTTATCTGAAATGAGTGCATTCCACGAAGTAAGGGTTTCAACAATCAAACATTTAATTCTTTAATTCCAGGAATCTGCGAGAGTAATTGACTAGATAATTACCTTTTAAACTTATTCCACAGAAAATGTGATAGTGGGTTTTTCCATTTTGTAGGAAGGTCCAAGTAGCGTATTTAAAATTCTTAACAGTTCACTAAAAGTAGGTACTTCAGTTGCAAGGTGCAGTTTATTGTGTATACTAGTGTTATGGAAAATTTGGAAGTGCCGTGTAAACGCCGAAAAATTGGTCCTTTAACAGTTAATGAAAAAACATTAATATTTAATTGTTTTAAATCATTTACAGACAAACGTTTATGTGAAAGTGTTGATGAGACCGTTGAGTTAGTTAGCAGTACACTTGGTGTTGGGAAATCTACGATTTACAGAGTTAAAGAGAAATGTGGTAGTTTTCAAATGCCACGTAATGCTGCAGGGAAACCAAAATTTCAAATAGAATATCATTTTAAAGAAGGACTTCGACGGAAAGTGCATGAATTCTTCTTTAGACAAGAATTTCCAACATTGGATAAAGTTCTTGTCTCAGTTCGAGATAAGGATTACCCAAAAATGAGTCGAAGTACGTTATGGAAATTTTTAAAAGAAATAGGCTTCCGCTGGAAAAAGAATCCCAGAAAGTCTATTTTATTAGAAAGAAGCGATATTGTCATATGGAGAAGACATTTTCTAAGGGATGAAACGGTTACAAGTCAAAGGCACGCTTTTGTAAATAACTTATCTACTGGTTTAAACCCACCATCAGGAAAGGGACGCAGGCTGATAATAGTATACATTGGCAGTTCAGACGGTTTTGTTGAAGGTGGTTTATTAACTTTTGAATCAACTCGTACCGGTGACTACCATGAAGACATGAACGCTGATGTCTTTCAAGAATGGTTCGAACAAATGATAGATCTTCTTCCTAAGAACTGTGTAATAGTAATGGATAATGCAAGTTATCACTCCAGACTTATAGAAGGATTGCCCACAACCAAGTGGTTAAAAAAAGACCTGCAGAATTGGCTGAGTTCAAAAAATATTACGTACCATCCCGGATCTATAAGAAAGGAACTTTATTCGTTGTGTGCCCTTCATAAAGAAAAATTTAAAAAATACGAAATTGATGAATTGGCCAAAAATCGTGGAATGACAGTACTTAGATCCCCACCATATCATTGTGAATTAAACCCGATTGAACTGGTATGGGCACAGATAAAAAGTGAAGTTTCAAGAAAAAATACTACTTTTAAAATTCTTGATGTTAAACAGTTGTTTTTGGAGGCCGTAAATAATGTAAAACCTGAAAACTGGGAAAAGGCAGTAAATCACACTATTAAAGAAGAGGAAAAAATGTGGAAGCTGGACAATATTACTGATAAAATGATCGAGCCAGTTATTATAAATCTTGGTTCTGAAAGTTCATCTTCTGAATCTGATTTGGATTTGTAACAAGTAGCTGTAAGTTTTATATTAATATTTTTATTCATCTATTTAACATACCTTAGACGGTTTTAAAAACTCTTTTTCTCTTTTGTAATTTTTAAAAATTAAAAAAAATGTGAATTTTTTAAAACCCTTTTTAATGTAGGCCAGTCAGTTCTAATATAGTGTGTGATAAAAGAGGTCAATTTTGTTTACATACACATAACACTTTATAACACTGAAATAATTCATTTATTTTTTACAATTATTCAAAGTAATTTTTCAATTAATCTTGAGCACGCCTATGGAGTGGTCGGAAGTACCAGTTAAAATCATGCTAATTACTCTCTCGTTCATAAAAATAAACTATAGAGCTAAAATAGAATAGGTAAGAGATGCAGCCAAGAGGATGAAATTTAAATTTAAAAAAATCGTAGGCTCAGAGCTAACAAAACCAGAACAAAATACACTCAGAGCTAACAAAATGTGGGTCACAGAAACTTTTTGAAATGCTTCGCAGATTATTTGAAAGGTGTTTAAACAGCGAAGTAGTTCAAGAAAAATTTAGACATGCCTGAAGAAGTCCTCAACCCCGACAAGGCGCGTCCCAATGGCTAATAGGGAACTTTCCTGTAGATATGCAGGACACGTCGAATAAGATAAAACCAAATAAGTACCCGCGGAGGGCATGACTGAGGGCATGACATAGGGCAGCAGCTATGCCATTATTGCACTGGGGCTGTGTGATCCATACAGGTCTAGTGTAAATTACTTACTGGTGACAACTACATCAGTAAGACTACGATCAGGCAGGCAACGGGAAACCACCTGATTATCTTCCCAGAGAGCGTTATAAAATGACGACTAAACAAGAAAATTCTGTGCTTTGCAATCCGGCTAGCAACCGGCGCCGTATGATTCCGGGTCGAATGGTATGAAATGGGCGACCGGGCAGATGATTGTGGATGATCAGGCAATATCTGCGAAATGGGATGCTGGAAGATCAAACTTAACATTACGTAAAAAACACCGCATCGCAATATGCAATGTTAGGGGGCTGCTACAGCCAGGTAAATTGTATATATTAGAAAATGAACTGATCAAGGAGAAGATAGATATCTGTGGGATATCTGAGACATACTGGGAAGGCCAAGGACATTGGGAGGCCACTCCCTACAAAGTTTTTGTCTTCTTCTTAAAGTTAAATCTCCTATCGGAGGTTGGATATCATAACGGCTATGGTCACTTCGTTGGCTGCTGCTCGGAAAAGGTGTAGTGAACTACAGTTAAACCATTCTCTAAGGTTCCTCAGCCAGGAGATACGTCTTCTTCCTATGCTTCTTCTTCCTTGGATCCTTCCTTGCATAATAATTCTCAGCAGCTCATATTTTTCTTCTCTGGTTATGTGACCCAAATACTCTAGTTTTCTTCTTTTTATGCTGTTCATAATCTAACTCTTATTTAGACGTCGTGGTACCTCAGCATTGGTAATCCTTTGAACCCACTGAATTTTTAACATTGTTCTGTAACACCACATTTCAAACGCTTCTATTTTTCTTATGTGTTCTTTCTTCAATATCCAAGCTTCCATTCCGTATAGTAAGATAGAAAATATGGATCTTAGAGCCCTCAATCTGAGATGCAACTGAAGTTCTCTGTTGGTAAGCATTGTCTTTATTTCCACAAATGCTTGCCTTGTAGTATCAATTCGGACTTTGATTTCTCTGCTTTGGTCATTTTTGTCATCAACCCAGGTTCCCAGATATTTGTATGTCTCTACTTTTTCTATTTGGGTTTGCTCTATCATTAATCTCTAACAATCATAAATTTAGTTTTTCTCTTATTTATTTTTAGTCCGTATCTAATGCAATAATCGTTAATTCTATTTACCAATTCTTGTAGTGATTCCAGGGTGTCTGCCATTATAACGGTGTCATCAGCGAATCTTATGTTATTTACTATTCTTCCGTTTACAGAGATTCCATCACCCAGATCCGCTATCGCTTCCTGGAATATGGATTCACTGTACACGTTAAATAGTAATGGTAACAGAACACAGCCCTGTCTTACTCCTCTCTTTATATCTATATTTTCGGACTTTTGTTCTTCTATCTTTATATTGGCCTTTTGATTCTAATACAGATTGATAATGATTCGTAAGTCTCGTCTGTCTATATCTTTGTTTCTCAGTACTTCTATTAGTTTTTCATGTCGGACCCTGTCGAATGCCTTCTCGAAGTCGATGAAACATGAATAAATATCTAGGTTCATATCTAAGCATCTTTGAGAGAGGCCATTAAAAGCAAACAATGCCTCTCTCGTTCCCAGTCCCTTGCGGAACCCAAACTGAGTATTATCGATATCCCCTTCTAGTTTTCTATATAATCTTCCATGAATCACCTTTAGAAATATTTTGAGGGTATGGCTTATTAGTGATATTGTCCTATAGTCTGAACAATCTTTGGCATATACTGTTTTTGGTATTGCTCCAAAGGTGGACACCAACCATTTCTGTGGGATTTTTCCAGTTTTATATACTTCATTAAATAGGTCCAGAAGTACAGGTAGAGTTTCATCGTCTAGACATTTCAGTAGTTCCGCAGGTATTTCGTCTGGACCTACAGTTTTTCCGTTTTTTGCGTTTCGTATTTCTTGTTCGATTTCCTCTATTATGATCTCTAGCCCCGTTTCGCTGTCGATTTCTTCCGGTTCTTGTCGATTATCCTCAAACAGATCTGTTATGCATGTCTTCCATTTTTTTAAATTTCTCTTTAATTTCTATAATGATTTTTCCATTTGCGTCTTTCAGAAGGGCATCTTTCTTTTTTCTCAGTGTATTTGTCATTTCCTTTATTTTCTTATGCATGTTAAAGCTATCATACTGTTTAGCATATGCCTTTATTTCACTGCATTGATTAGCAAGCTAGGAGGATTTGGCCTCTTTTATTTCCTTTCCTATCAATCTCTGTAGTTCCTTGTATTTTGCCTTACTCGTGCCTTTATGTTTACTTCTTTCCTCCATTAGATCTAAGATTTCTGAAGTCATCCATCTCTGTTTTTTCTTATTTTTGTCTGCAGTAGCTTTTCTCCTGCCTTTATTAAAGTTTCCTGTACCATGTTCCATTTGTCATTAATATCTGTTGTTTTTATCACGTCTTGTTAGATTTTCTTTAAGTTATCATTTATTTCTTGTTTTAAGCTCTGACGTATAGGTTCTTCTTTTATCTTTGAGACATCAAACCGTGGTATATTTGTTTGTTTTTGGATCTTCTTCAATTTTATCTGCATTACGCCTACTAATGGATTATGGTTTGAATTTATGTCAGCTCCGGGGTATGTTCTCAGAGACTTTATAGCGTTTTTATATCTAGATTTTATTAAAATGTAATCTATCTGGTTTCGAACAATGTTATCTTCTGAATCCGAAGGTGATTTCCAAGTATAAAGTTTTCTTTTTGGTAATTTAAAATTTATATTCATTATTACCATCTCCTCACTTTGGTAGGATTCGACAAGTTTTTGTCAGGAGCTAACAAATCATGACAAAAAGGCGTAGCAATATTAATTCAAAAACGTTGGGCAAAATATGTACATGAATACCTTCCAGTAAATGATCGAATAATCAAAATAACTCTAAACGCTACACCAGCCAAAATGTATATTGTACAGATATATATTCCAACATCCGAAGCGGCAGAAGATACATTAAAAGAAACACACCACCTGATACACGAAACCATCTCTAACATTCCCAAAAAAAACCAATAATGACAATAGGAGATTGGAATGCAAAAATAGAAAAAACTAAAATAGATGACCATTTGAAAGGAACAGCCAAATTCACAAAAATTTGGAAGAACACTGACATCACAAAAAACACAAAATTACGCCTTGTTCGAGCATTGATATTTCCTATCGTCACCTATGCTTCAGAAACTTGGACAATAAAAAAAGCCGATTCAAAGCGTATAATGGTATTTGAAATGTGGGTCTACCGCCCATCGCAAGAGTGGCTGTTGTCTACATTCGTTACACTGCCAAAGAAATCTAATGCTAAAGAATGTTCAGAACATCGAACAATATCTTTAATGAGCCACCTACTAAAGATATTTCTAAAAATCATCCACAACCGAGTTTATCAAAAGTTGGAGTCAGATATTAGTAATACACAGATGGGGTTCAGAAAAGGGCTTGGTGCTCGAGAAGCTCTCTTCGGTTTGAATGTTCTCACACAAAGATGCCTAGACGTTAATCAGAAGGTACATACGTGTTTTATCGATTTTGAAAAAGCGTTTGACAGAGTACGCCATGCTAAGCTTAGAGAGATTCTTGAAAGGAAGGACATAGATAATAAAGATCTGCGAATAATTCTCAATCTATATTGGAATCAGAAAGCTAACATCAAAATAGAAACTGAAACATCACAAGCAATAGAAATACGTAGAGGAGTACGACAGGGTTGCATTTTGTCACCTCTGTTATTTAATGTATATAGTGAAAGCATCTGTCAGGAAGCCCTTTTACAAGCAAACGGAGGAATCGTAATTAATGGAGAGATTGTAAATAATATTCGATACGCGGACGACACTGTACTAGTTACAAGAACAGTAGAAGAATTACAAAGATTACTTACAGACATAAATATTGCTTGCAACAATTATGGTATAAATATCAATATTAAAAAAACCAAGTATATGGTCTTCAGTAAAAACATGACACAACCACCGTATATTAGTATAAACGGCACTCAAGTTGAAAAAGTATCAAGTTACAAATACTTGGGAACTTTAATAAACGAAACTGGAGACCAAAACAGTGAAATAAAAAGATGTATCGAAATTGCCAGGGCCACCTTCATAAAGATGAGAAAATTCTTCTGCAACAGAAATATCTACGAATCTACGATTAAGAATGCTGAGAGGCTATGTATTTAACACTCTATTATACGGTGTAGAGGCCTGGACTCTCAAACAGAACAACATGAAAAATATTGAAAGTTTCGAGATGTGGTGCTACCGTCGAATGCTGAAGATTAGTTGGGTTGAAAGAATAACAAACTGTGAAGTAATACGAAGAATAGGAAAAGACCCAGAGATTTTGTTAACGCTAAAGCGAAGAAAACTTGAATATTTTGGTCACCTGATGAGAGGACATAAATACGCATTACTTCAAAATATAATGCAGGGAAAAATAGAAGGAAAACGGAATCCAGGCCGTAGAAGAATGTCATGGTTGCGGAATTTGAGAGAGTGGTTTGGCTGCACCACTAATGAACTCTTTAGGTCAGCCGTAAACAAGGTCAGAATAGCCTTGATGATTTCCAATCTCCGATAGGAGTGGCACAAAAAGAAGAAGAAGCCCATCGCACAAATAACTCAATTCTAGCAGAACTTAACATAAAAACTAGACTCATCAAAACTATCAACCAAAATATACTGAGATATTTTAGACATATACCTAGAATTAATTACTATTAAACTGGGAATAAGCCACAATTAAAGATAAAACAATATACCTAGAAGAAGAGAAAGCCTGGAGAGAATGATAGTTGAAGTTAACGTAGCGGGTAAAAAATCCAGAGGAAGATCTCCAGTACGATGGTCGGACCAAATAAAGGACATGACTGGTTACTCATTCCCCAAAGTAAAACAACACGCCCAGGAGAGAGATAACTGGACAAAAATAGTCAAACAAACTACATGATGCCACTATATACTTACGAAGGAGAAAATATTGAGGAGGATATCTTTAAAATTTATTCCAAAGAGATATGCTCGTAGAAGTACGAAATAGTCGTCAATAACTTTCTACTACAGCTATATTAGCAGATAACATAGTTTATTATAGTAACTCCTTAAGAGCAACTCCTAAAAGAGCATAAAGAAAGCCTTGTAAGAAATATAATTCGATGTTAAATTAGGAGCACTAAATCAGAATTTAAAATCAAAAGTATTGATGAAATACTTACAATGATAAAAGATCAATCGAGATATACTTACAAAATGGTGGAGGATGAGACCAAAATCCAGTTTCTGTACAAATAATACTAGCTTCTCCTTCTAAGTGGTGAGCACCTGTGCAAGCAAATTGTACCAAGCTGCCCACAGCATATCGACCTCCATCCATTCCTGGTGCCTCAGACTGAATTAGATGACCGTTAAGCGGTAGAACTGGAGGTGGACATTGTATAGCTAAAACATACAAATAAAGGTAATATTGGTTTGAACAGATAACATCAAAAGGTATTTTGTGCTAAAATATTATGTTTTTTTTTTATTTTATTTTATTTATTTACGCTGTAATCACCAAGGTTACTAGCGACCTAAATGTAAACTACAGGTACAGTTAGAAAAAAATTACAATAAATGATATAGTCCTGAGTCTTTAAGGTAACTTATTGTGTTTTTAATGTTCATATTTTTTCCTAGGGCTTCCTTCATGTTGTTTGGTATAGTGTGCTTCTTTCTTGCTGTTTCATATTTTTTGCACTGAGTTAGTATATGTTTCACGGAGAGTGTTACTTGACACGTTTCACATATTGGCGGCACAGTTCGCGTAAAGAGGTGTTTATGTGTAAAGTTACTATGTCCTAGTCGCAAACGTGTTATTTTCACTTGATCGTGTCTATTCGCTGTGGGTTGGAGCCACGGTTTTACTAATTGTTTGATTTCTTTTAGTTTATTTTGTGATACACTCCACTTATTTTGCCACGCACTTAACACTTTATGTTTTATTTCTGACCTAAAGTCATCTGAAGGAACCTCATTAATGAGAATGGAGTGCTGGCTGGAGGATGCTAAGCGGGCTAGTTCATCTGCTTCTTCATTTCCTTGTATACCTGAATGTGATGGAACAAACATGAAGTCAACAGTGATCTTATTATTATTTAGAATCTCTATTTCTGATTTGATACGTGAGGAAATTGGATTATTGGTATATAAACGTTTTATAGTGTGAAGTGAGCTTAGTGAATCGGTTATTATGAGAGACGGGGACTGTTTCGTCTCTTTTATGTAGATAAGTGCTTGTAATATTGCAAACAACTCCGCAGTATACGACGAAGTAATGGGATTGAATTTAAATTTTAAAGATGTATTGGGTGTAAGGATGGCTGCACCAACACCGTCTGAAGATTTGGATGCGTCAGTGTATATCTTATAGTGATTTTTATAAGTTTCCATTTCTGTTAAGAATGATTGTTTGATCAGACCTGTTATAGTCTCACGTTTTTTATATATACTAAGGTTAGTATTAATCTTGGGAATTGGTATTAACCAAGGTGGAGAAGTTAGGAAATTTGTTGGAAGAATTTCAGGAAATTTAAGATATAGGTCATGAAGATTTCTTCTAATTCTTTCGTAAAATGGTGGATCTAGTCTTCTTGTAGAGAAAGTGTCTTGAAATCGATCTGTGAACGTATTGGTATAAGTAGGGTGTTCTTTATTACTAGCTATTTTAGAAGCATATGAGAGAGAAAGGTATTTGCGTCGTAAACTTAGTGGTGGTTCTCCTGTTAAGCATTGTAAACTTTCAACTGGTGTCGTGCAAAACGCGCCTGTAGCTATTCGTAAAGCTGTGTTTTGAACAGTTTCTAATGTTTTCAATACAGATACTTTGCTTGATGAATAAACTATTGCACCATAGTCGAGTTTGGATCTAATTAAAGATTTATATACATGTAATAGTGTATTTTGATCTGCTCCCCAGTTTTTGCTGGAAATAGTTTTCATGAAATTTAGTCCTGCTTGGCATGATTTTTTAAGTTCTTCTGTATGTTTTTTCCAGGAGAGCTTTTGGTCGAAAACCGTACCTAAAAATCTGATATTATTTGTGAAACTAAGGGTTTGATTATATAGCTTTAGATGTGGAATTAGAGTGTTATGTTTTCGTGTGAATAAAATACATTTAGTTTTTGTAAAAATTGTAATCCGGAAGTCCTAGACCATGATTCTAAATTATTAATTGTTTGTTGTAAATTTTTTTGAATAGATGTAGGGTTTTTTCCTTTGGCAAATAAAACCAAGTCATCAGCGTATAATCTTCCTTTAACAATCGGTGAGCATTGTTGAAGTATGTCGTTTATGGCTATTAGAAAAAGGGTTGAGCTTATAACTGATCCTTGTGGTACTCCGTTCTTTTGAACTTTTTTATCTGAGTTAGCGTTGTCTGATCGAACTATGAAGCTGCGAGAATGAAGAAAATTGGAAATAAATTTTAACATATTGCCTCTGATATTCCAATTATGCAATTTTGATATGATATTGTATCGCCAGACAGTATCATAAGCTTTATTAATATCAAAAAAAAAAACTGCGATACAATCTTGCTTATTTGCAAATGCTTCATGTATTCCAAAATATTATGTTTGAATCCTTTTATTGTTAAAAGAACACAAGTGAAATTTTATAATATTTGAGAACAACGCAAAAAAATATTCTTATACTCATTTTTAGTTAAATTTCAATGAATCTGTATAACTTTGAAACTTTTGACTAAAGATACTTACGAACACATTTCGGTAATGGTCCTGACCAATTTCCACTAAGTTCGCATTCGATTCCTGGTGGTCCTACTAGTTTATATCCCCAAGCACAGCTAAATACAGCCGTACCCCCATAATTATTGTCGTGTTCTTCAACTTGCAGATGCGGTTCCAGACTTTCAGGTGTATCTAATGGTGGACATTTAACTGGCTCACATTTTGGAACAGGTGCGGACCACTTTCCTGTAAAGTTCAAAATAATAGAATTGAATAGAATTTATTTGGTCCACATAAAAAATAGAGTTGTTTTTGACAAGCCAAAAGAAGTAGGGAATATTATTAAATATATACATTATGAAGTTTAAGTAAGTTGAATAATTACATAAATTGTGAACTTAAATATTAGAGCAAACAGATAACAAAGACAAACACAATAAATAAAAACATAAAAACATGAAATATTGTCATAGTAGTAGGCAAATTCGCTGATAAACTAGCACTATTTTGTAAAAGCTGAACCTAGGTACTTTATACTTTATACTCTTTTTTACTTTAGGTCTTGGAATTCATTCTGGCAATTATAATTTTGTTGGTTACGCGTCTGAATAGTTCATTTGAACTGCATCCAAACCATTCACAGAGATTGCGTAGCCATGAGATTTTACGTCTTCCTACGCTTCTTCTGCCTTTGATTTTACCCTGCATTATATTTCTTAGTAGTTCGTATTTTTCACCTCTCATGATGTGCTCCAAGTATTCTAATTTCCTGATTTTTATGGAATTTAAAACTTCGCATTGTTTTCCCAGTTGTTCGAGAACTTGTTCGTTTGTTTTGCGATCCATCCATCATATTTTCAAAATACGTCGGTAACGCCACATTTTGAATGCTTCTAGGTTTTTAATGTTGTATTTTTTAAGTGTCCAAGCTTCAACCCTATACAAAAGGGTAGAGAAAATATAACATCGAAGCATTCTTATCCGGAGCGATATATTGATATCGCGATTACAAAAAAGTTTTCTCATTCTATTAAAAGTTGACCGTGCAATTTCAATACGGCATCTTATTTCTTTTGTCTGATCAGTATCTTCTGTGATCCATGCTCCAAGCTCCAAGGTATTTGTACGAAGATATTTGTTCAATTTCTGTATTATCTAGTACTAGCTTAACTTTGATGTTTTGTGCTTTTGTAAATATCATGAACTTGGTTTTCTTCAAATTTATTTTTAGTCCATAATCGTTGCAATATATATTTATTTGTTCAGCAAGGTGTTGCAGTTCTTCTAGTGTTCCTGCCAGAAGGACGATGTCGTCAGCATATCTTATGTTATTAAGTGGCTCACCGTTTATTATAAGGCCCTTACTGATCTCGGCAAGCGCTAATTCTGAGATGGCTTCACTGTATAAATTGAATAACAAGGGTGATAAAATACACCCTTGGTGGACTCCACGGCGAATCTGGATATCCTCGGTCAGTTCATTGTCAACTTTCACTTTTGCTGTTTGGTTCCAATAGAGGTTGCATATGATTCTAATGTCTCTACTGTCTATGTTTTTATTTAATAAAATTTCTTTAAGTCGATTATGCTGCACTCTGTCAAATGCCTTCTCAAAATCAATAAAACAGGCATATACTTCCTGATTAATATCTAAGCCTCTCTGCGAAAGAACACTTACTGCAAACAGTGCATCTCGTGTTCCCAGACCTTTCCTAAATCCCATTTGTGTATTACTTATGCCTTCATCTAATTTCTTATGTATTCTATTGTGAATTACTTTTAAAAATAATTTCAAGACATGACTCATTAAGGCTTTGGTGCGATGTTCATTGCACTCCTTTCCATTTACTTTTGTGGGAAGCAGTATGAATGTTAATTGGAGCCATTCTTTAGGTATTATACCTATTCTATATATGGTATTGAATAGATCCAAAAGAAGATCAATAGATTCAGTATTCACAATTTTGAGTAATTCGATAGGAACTTCATCAGGCCCGGTAGATTTACCACCTTTAGCTTGTTTCATTCCATAATCAATTTCTTCTCGTATAATGTCAGGCCCAGTATCATCCTTAAATTCTTTTGGTGCTTCTGTTCTCTCTTTATCTTCAAAAAGTTGTGCTATATATTGTGTCCATCTCTGCATTTTTTGGTTTATATTTGTTATAAGTGCACCACTTTCATCTCTTAGTTACCTAGTTTGAAGTGTTTTTCTCATTCCTGTTAATTCTCTAATTCTTTTATACATGTTAAAAAAGTCATATTTTTTCTCAATTTCTTCTATTTCTTGGCACTGCTCATGTAACATTCTCTCCTTAGCTTCTTTTATTCTCTTTTTATTTCATTATATTTAATTAGATTTTTCGTTTTGAATGATTTTCTTTCATTCATTAATAGTAGTATTTCTTCAGTCATCCAGTCCTTATGTTTTCTATTCTTTAGTTTAAAGTTTTCATTTGCTGTTTTTTTTTTAATTATTGCTACTTTTATATTTTCCCATTTCTGATCAATTTTATAGCTACTTTTATTCAGTTCTTGGGCATTACGTAGATTTTCAGTAAGAGTTTTTACAGTTTGTTCCTTTGTTTGTGGTTCCCTTAATCTCTTAATATCAATTCTACTTTGTGTGGGTTTTTAACCAGTTTCAATTTGGTTCGTAATGTGACTACTATGGGGTTATGGTCTGAACCGATGTCTACTCCAGGGTAAGTTTTGGCAGACAGTATAGAATTACGAAAGCTTTGTCTAATGATTTGATTTCGGATTATTTTATTCGTTGTATCACCGGGAGATTTCCATGTATACAATCTTCTTTTTGGTAGCTTAAAAAGTGTATTAGCTATTACAAATTCTTCCGACTGCATTGTATCAAACGGTCACCATGTTCATTTCTATTTCCTAGACCATATTCCCCCACATATCCATCCACTCTTCCCTGGCCAACTTTGGCTTTGAAGTCGCCCATTAGTATTGTAGTGTGATGTTTCTTCATTGATTTTAAGACTTGTTCCAAATCATGGTAAAATAGTTCGATATCGTCGTCATCTTTATCTGCCGTAGGAGCATAAACTTGAATAAAATTTATTGTACCTTTTTTAGACTGAAGTTGTATTGATAAGATCCTATCAGAATAAGGAGCAAAAATAAGGATTCATTTTTATATTATAGATTCGGACATGCATTATACATTTTAAAGTAGACGACTAAAACAAAACATAAGCAAAGAGCAACCAATTATAAGTTAGTGGTGCCCTTTTTGTGTAAACCAGAAGTGTTAGAAGTTTTTCACATAGTTCTCTTGGCAGCCATTGACACATGGATGCCACATTTTCACATCTCTAAAATCAAGATCTTCGTGATTTTTGAAAGACTTTTGAAAGAGTTTTGAATTTTGTTTTTTTTATGTATTTTTTATTATTATTTTTATTATTAATATCTAATAAGTATATTCTAACACAAGTCACATTTTTAATGATTGTCATAATCTTTAGATTTACCTGAGGCTTGACAAGTTAAGTTGGCTTCCCCAGTAACAACAAATCCTACTGGACATTGGAAAATAGCTTTGTGTCCCAATCTGGTACCTTCTACTCTCACACTAAGATGCATCCTCGATACGGAAATAGGTTCACAGTGAACAGCTAAAATAAAAAAAAAATTTGGAAATATATATATATATATATATATATATATATATATATATATATATATATATATATATATATATATATATATATATATATATATATATATATAAAACATATTAAACAAGTAACAACATCCAAGCTCATGCGAGTGCTGTTTCGAGTAAGGCCATATCGCTCCGGGAAGTTAAATCTATTTTCATCGACATGTCGGATAATTTAATAGTTTTAAGTATGTCATTTTCAATTTAAATCCATCCACTGTTTGGTGATGAGGTTATTAGCGCAAGTATTTCAAAGTTCATTGAAGATGAACTGTCCGGAAACATTTTTGTTCTAGACGAAAATCAACTATTGTAATCCATTTGTGTTTTGATTGAAATTTTTAATTAAATTTTATGCTAATTATAAAAGAAGCTTTTACTTCTAAGTTGAAGTTTTTTAAACAAGAAAAACTATTGCATACCTGCTACAACAAGGGTTATACTATTCGTAATTCCTCGAGGAGTTGCGCAAGTAAATGTTCCAGAATCTTGTGGTTTTGCGTAATATATTGAGAGTCTATATTTCCAGTCTCGTTCTTCTGACGCAATTGCCCAACCTGAAATTAAAAAAAAATGTCTAATAGATTGCCTGTAGTTAAAAAAAGACTAATTTATTGTACCACAGTTTTTCTGAATTCTGAACAACTCTGAATTTCATCAACATGCATCGATTTTGTTAAAGTTTTAATAGTAAGTAGGGAATACCTCAAAAATCAAAGTCCATTTTATGCCTATGTTAAAAAAAATTAGATTCGATTTATGGGACTTTTATTGGCGCAGTTCGACAGAATTTCAGACTTGTTCCTATACCTGACAAGCTTTAATATTGGACAGTGGACATCGTTTTATATTGAATATGAAAAGTTCTAATTTTTGTTGCTTACCTGTTAAATACTGTCCTAGAGGTGAAGTCCAAGTCCAGTCAGGAGAACCTAATCTTCGTGAAAATATGCATTCAAAATGTAAGGTTGAGCCCGGGAAAACAGCAAGTTCTCCGCCAGGTTCTGCAGAAGCTGATCCGGATGGTATTCGAATAAGTATTGAGGGAGGTGCATCTTCTACAAATTTTTTGAATTGTTTTATTGAAAATCGTATGAATCTTGTTATACAAATGGAAATTTCTATACGGTAATGCTACAATATCTCAATTATACTTTTTACTGTAAGGCAACTACTTAAAAAAATTGGAAATTCAATAGAACTATCCATAATCCCTTCAAAAACTTTCGACAAGCATACGACAGCATAAAAGGGGATCAAATCATTCGCGGATGACCTCGCTGTACTGGTAGTAGCCCGGGATGAGCCAGATCTCAAATACCGAGTTCGGAACGCAGGCGGCGTCGTAAAAAAATGGATGACGCAGCACGGACTAAAACTTGCGACAGAGAAAACCGAAGCCATTATTCTGAAGGGGACAAGGAACAGGCAAGGTGTTGAATTAAAATGTGCGGGAGTATGTCTAACACCCAAGACACAAGTAAAGTATCTAGGAGTGACATTGCACCAGAATGGAAAATGGGAGGAACACGTTCGGGAGGTGGTCCGAAAGGCCTGCGAATAGTGCGGCTGCGTTGGGGAGAGTGATGCCGAACATTGGAGGACCCAAATCTGAAAGGAGGAGGGCCTTACACGGTGTTGTACAGTCTATCGTTCTCTACGCAGCACCAGTCTGGAGCGAGGCGGTAGAGATAACGGCCTATAGGAGTCTTATGAAACAGTAGACAGAACAAGTCTGTTGCGAGTGGCATGCGCCTACAGGACTGTGTCTGCAGCAGCCTTATGGACCATCACTGGATGTGTTCCGTTGCATGTTTTGGCGGTGGAAAGAAAAGAGCTTTATGAGAGAAGAGGCCCAAACCTTACTGTGGCTGAGAGAAGACAGGTAAGGGAAAGGTCAGTTGAAAGATGGCAAGAAGAATGGAACAATACGGAGGATGTGGTACAGTGGACGAAAATGCTGATCCCTAACATAAGAGTTTGGGTGGACTGTGACCACAGGCGATTGGATTATTTCCTGACGCAGGTGCTCACAGGACACAGGTGTTTTAGGGCCTACCTTTATAGGATCGGTAAGGCTGATACAGATGAATGCCTATATTGTGGATACTCGGACACTGTGACACATACGATGTTAGATTGCAGCAGATGGATAGTGGAAAGGAACAGAATGGAGAGAGAGACAGGTGTGAATTTTGTTACAGTGAGAGAAATGATTGAGAGAATGATTGAAAATAAATTAGGTTGGATTAACATACACAGTTATATCCGTGCAGTGATCAAAAAAAAAAGGAAGAGGAAGAAAGACAGCTAGACCAACGGCAAAGGTAGAGTGAATGATGCTGAAAGGTGAAGTTAGAACAGTGGGTCACACTTTTTGAGTTAGAATGCGTGAGTTTGACTGTGGGGAAGGAGGAAATGCCCTTCTGAGAATGATGCCGAACTAGGAGTGTGGATGTGTATGAATGGAGAATGAATGAATAAAGGTAGTGCTTCGGAAGTGATGCCGGCCTTACAGCGGCCATTCCGCTTCCGGATCGCTGGATGACAGAGGAGGGTCTGGTTTAGCAGGTAGGCGTTCGGCGTAGACTCGGCGACGAGAGGGCATTTTAAAGTACCTCGGGAACTATCGCCGGGAGTACGAAGAACGAATCCTGCACTAAGGTCAGACAGGCGGCGTCCTGGACTGAGATGTCTTTTGAAGATTCCAGACCCCTCCTCTATAAAGACGAAAAAAAAAAGACGCGGCCCGGGTAGATGACAAATGACCTGGCTGCGCAACATCAAAGATTGGACAGAATTAGACTTTCAAAGTTTAATAAGGAAAGCCCAAAATAGGGAAGACTTTGCAGAGGTCATCGCCAACCTTCTCTAAGAAGACGGACCCAAAGAAGAAGAAGAAGAAAACATTGTTCTAAAACAATGAAATGTACTGTCACCTTTCTTCTTTAATATAATCCTGTAAACATTGGCATAAAACAATGAAATGACATTGACATTCGTCACCACTATAGAGGACACTTTCAAACAACATAAAGATAGAGCCAAAAAAGTTAGTCCAATGGAAAGTTAAGCAAACACCAAATATGAATACATTAAATTGTGACAATCACCGCAGATAACGACATCACAGAAAAGATAAAAGGGAGCATTCAGGCAGCAAACAAATATATGTATAGCCTCTATACATACAACACTATTAAGTCCAAGAGTTTGAAACAAGCCTTAAAAATCAGGATATATAAAACAGTGATTAGACTGGAGGCAATGTATAGGTATAAAACGTGGGTTTAACAAAAGCAATGGAAAGAAAACTCAGATGTTTTAAGAAAAAAATCCTCAGTAGGATCGTGTGACCCTATTACGACCCAAATACTAATTAATACAAAATGAGAACAAACGCCAAAATCAAACAGATACATAAAGCTAGCGACGTAGTCCAAGAAATTAAATCCGAAATGTTTAAGATGTGCTTGCCATATCTATAGGCTTCCTAATAGCCGCCTTGCCAATTTATTACGGGAGGAGGCACCGATAGGAAGAAGGCCCTTAGGATGCCCACGAATATGGTGGAGAGATATCGTACGGTCTGATTTAAGATCAATGGGGCTACCCATCAACCCAACTATCATGGACGACCGCGTGAGATGTAGACAAGTTGATCAGTCAGCCAAGACGTACCCGGGATTATAGTTCTACAAGAAGAAGAAAAAGATCAGAGCTAGTATTAAATTGATATAATAATTTGGAGCAAAAATAAAAAAATGAAGAAAAAAGTACGAGACAGATCAGAATGAAGAACAATCCTGGAACAGGACAAAAAGCGTTGTCGAGTTCGTGATAATGATGCTAGTATTAAATTTACTAGTACAGATCTTAGAACCTGAAGAGAGACTAATCTTTTAGATTATTATCTACTACCTTATAAGACCAAATAAAAACTCTTAAAATGTATTAAAAAAGCCTAGATCGTTTATTTTACCTGTAAAGTTAGTTAAAATAGTTGTTGGTACACAGGATGGTAGTCTGGAAGACCATTGTCCATTTTGACATTGGGGTGTAGGTGTACCCAATAATTTATATAACCCCAATTCGATGCATCTGGTATGTAATTTAGCGCCATGGGGAAAAGTCCACCCTGGATTCTAAAATATAAATGTAAAGTTAATAATTTCTAAATTTCTACAATTCCTAAAAATAAGGAAACTGGAAGGTACACTGAGATGAATGTATTATAGATCGTATTATGATAATATTACTTTATAGCTTAATAAACTAATTAAACTTAAAGGAATCATGGAAATACTACAAATTACATTATTATAAAAAATGTGTACTTACAAGGATGGATACGTTTCTAAACGTGACTAATAAGTGAGGGTTTATATATTCAAGTTTGCAATTTCGAAATAACGGTTGAAATCTTCCATTATCTATAAAAAACAAACATATTTTAATTAAAGAAAAATTTAAATTAAAACGAAAATGAAATAATATCTATTATATATTTACACAGTTCTACCACGATACGTTTGGTTACAAAAAAATCAACGTTTACAAAACTTAAAAGGTATTCTATCATAGTTTTGCAAAGTTTATATAAGTACTTGAACGAAGATCAAAATTTTAAATTTATACTGAAGTCTTACATTTGAAAACATCTTAATCCGTGAGACTACGTAATAAGATAATATTTGGAAACATTTAGTAGCCTTTGATATCGTTTTTCCTTCATCATCAGCTTAATAGAGGGTTGACGATTATTCTCAGACTTACAGAATATACATGTAAAATTTCATACAAATCGGTCCAGCCGGTACGGAAAAGGAAGGTTTTACATAGCAATAATAAGCGGTGTTCCCAAGCGGTCACTACCAATCCAAAATCTAACCGCAACCGACACTGCTTCATTTCGGTGATGGAACGAGAACTGGTACATTTAGTGTGATGTTTGTTAATCCTACATTCCTTTTTTACACATCATAGTATGTAGTTGTAGTAGTTATATTGCGATTTAAAATGGGGGAAAACTGTTTTTGAAGTCGTTCCGTACAATTTTTTTTAAAATTATCTTTTACACAAATCTTCTCCTGATAATAACAAACAGAAAAAAACGAATTACCTAATTTGGTGCAGTCGTAAAGTGATGCCCGTACACATATTCCGGCGGTTTATTTTTATTTTATTAATATAGATTTTATATTTTATTATAGGAATCCCTGTTATAGGGGCGTCACTTGGATTATTCCTGATGATTTAATTGAGTCCAAATTGAGACTTTTGCTTATACCTAATTTTAACTAATTATAACATTAATTGCGTTAACAGTCACTAGAGCATTTCAGTCTTCTATGTTAACACTGATTGCTTGACTTTCCATCTTTTTCTGTCATATGCAGATGCTTCTTCCAAGTCTCTTGCTGCTATTGCTTCATCAATATCGTTGCGCCAACTTCTCTGTGATCGTCCCTCTCTTTCTTCTTTCGGGAGGGATCCATTCCAGTACTCTTCTAGGCCATCTGTATTCTGGCATTCTTTTAACATGTCCGAACTAGATTAATTGTTTTCTTTCTATATCATCATTGAAATTTCGCCCCATTTTCATTTAGTTTCTTATTTGTTCGTTTCTAACTCTCTCCAGTTTCGATCTACCGCAGCTTTGTCTCAGATAATCCATTTCTATCGTCATAAGTTTGTTTCTATTAGCTTTGGTGACGTGCCATACTTCCGAACCGTAAAGTGTAATACTTTGGACTATACTATCGCGAATGTGTTTTTTGGTTTCTCGTCAAATTGTTTTTTGCCAGAGAAGAGAGTTTAAGGCACGGGTCGCTGCTTTGTCCTTGTTTATTCTTTCCCTGATTTCATCTGCGCTATTTTCCTTCTTGTTAAAAATGACCCCCAAATATTTTCAGGATTGCAAGCCTTTGATATTGTCGTCTTCCAAGACTAGGTCACACATTTCAACTGAGAGATATTCACATTTTGTCATATTCATGTTTAGACCTGCCACCTCATATTCTACTTGCAGTTTTCTTACCATATAGCTAAGATCGTAGCTGTCATCGGCAATTACTACCTGGTCATCCGCAAACAAAAGTGTATATAGCGTGTTTTCTTCTACCGTTATTCCCATGTTTTTACATTTTTTACCCACTTCACTAAGGATCTGTCCAAATAGATTTTAAATTAGATGGGTGACAGACAGCAGCCTTGTCTTAGTCCCTTTGTTGTTTAAAAAGCAGAGGTGATTTCTTGTCCCATTCTAATTCTTGCAAAGTTTTGTTCGTAGTATTTTTGAGTGTCGTTAATAAGAATTAGTTCTATAGCAGCAATCACTGCGATCCCTCTATAGTTTTTAGGATCCGTCTTTGTGCCTTTCTTGTGTATTGGCGAGATATACGATTGTCTCCATTCTTCTGGAACTTCTTCTCCGTTTAAGCACCGTTCGAAAAATTTTCGGATCATTTCAAACAGTTTTGATGATCCATACCTAATAAACTCTGGATGTATTCTGCCTGGGCCTGGAGATTTTCTTAATTGTATTCTCTTAACTGCTTCTTTCACTTGTTCATTGATATTCTTCCTTCTACTTTTACTTATTTTTTTGTCTGTTTAAACCTTTCTCTTCTCTCTGTTAATAAGTTCTCAAAATGCTCTAACCATGTGTTTTCTGGTATTCTATTTATTATGACTTGGTTTTTTGTCGTTGTTCTCATCGTTTTTATAGTTCTCCAAGCTTCAGAACTCTTTGTCCCTCCTATATGGTTGTCTAGGTATTGGCATTTTTGTTCCCATGCACTATTTTTCTTTTTAACCACTTCTCATTTGACTTCTTTATTCTATAATTAATTATATAATTTTTTAAGTCAAATTTTTAAGATTAAATTTTTGTATTGTTGTTTTGTTTGTTCGTCTCCCTATTGTAATAACTTTTGATATACTTCCTTCTTTCTTTTTATCTTTTCTTCCACTTCTTTATCCCACCAATATGGTTTATCTACTCTCTGTACCTGTGGCCCTAAGGCTTCTAGCGCTGTGTCTTTCATGCAGTTTTTATATGTTCGTATTCATCTGTCGTTGATCTGTGTGATTCCTGTACTTTTTGTGTTAGTCTCCAGGAGTAAAGTAATTGCGTGCTCTCGTTATGTAGATTGTCTAAGGTGTACGTAGTTCTTTCTGTTTTTTCTCTGTGTTCTTTGTTGATGTCTGTGTGGTTCCTTGCTACGAATTGTGTATATATTTTTCCTATTACCAGGCAGTGGTCCGAGTCGCACTTTGCTCCTCTATTCACCTTTACGTCCTGTACTCTTAACTTGTTATGAAATAATCTATTATCTTTGAAAATAAGGCTATTATCGAGCACAAGTTAATTAAATCTAGCCCAAGTACTTTCGCTTAAAATAGCATCTTCAGGGGCTTTGTGGAAACATTAAAAATAACATAAAATTGTACAAAACACTACAATAAAACGAGGACAAACAGTTTTTAGTGTAGTGTTTTGTACAATTTTATGTTATTTTTAATGTTTCCACATTCTACGCTTGCCGGATAGTTCACATTTTGACGAAATGCCCCTGAAGATACTATTTTAAGCGAAAGTACTTGGGCTAGATTTAATTAACTTGTGCTCGATAATAGCCTTATTTTCAAAGTTCATTTATTAGAGCATTCAACCTCATTTTATTTAATCTATTATCGATTTTCGACCTCTTGTGTGCTGATATCAGGTGTATTTATGTATGTTCTTGTGGGCGAAAAAACTATTCAAAATCTTTATGTAGTCTAATCTATGATCTAATTATGATTATACTTTCTCCATATACAGTCCATCTGCCAGAAAGAAATGAAAAACCGCTTACAATATAAGGTTATTTTTATCGTATACTATCTGAGTATGTTTACTGATTTTATAAATTAATTTGAACATATTAAATTACCTTAGTGTTGGTAGGAGCAAGAGTATAATATCATTATCCCTTATATCGTAAACCTCATAATTTCAAACTGCCCTATTATATCATCCCGACAAAGTTCAAGTCTTAGTTTTATTAAGAATGTTAGGGAGATGGTAGTTAGATATCTAAGGGATCCTAAATATTAACCCTACATTTGGAATGTCCTTGGTGAATTTCTGAGGGAATTTAAACACAAACCTTACATTCTGAAAGGATTAGGGAAACAACACGTATTATAATTAAATCAAGATTGTCTCAAACCGTTTATGTTGAATATAAATCATTGTTTTAAGTTGTTATTCGAGTTAAGGTCTTAATATGTAGAGTTACTGAGATAAATTAAATTTTACTCAAAATTGTACAATTAGTTATTATTTGCAATTTGTTATCTAAATTAAGCATTTGTGAATAGTCTGCATATTCCTTCTTCCTCCTTAGTTTTTCTTATTTTGTTTGTTCAGGAATGAACTTTTTCTTTAGTTTATGGAAAGTGTATTTTTATTGCATATAAAGAAACCTGTATTAACCTACAGAAAAATTATTGAGTGATTATTGCAGTAGATAGCGGAGTTATTGCTGAATCGTGGTAGATCTGCTAAGATGATGATGACGACTCTTATTACCGCTCTTCATAACATCGAATAATCCAAAATAAAACAGAAAAATAGTATTTAAATAAATAAATTTAAAGATTTTTATAAATACCTGTTTGGTCTGCACATAAAGGTCCAACCCACTGACCAGCTATACATTTTATCTTACAAAGACGTTGTTCCCCAAGAGGACCAATAGATCCAGAAAATTTCACCTCTCTAATGTGTGAATAGTCTTTTCGTATTCGATTCTCTCCTGCCTCAGTTTCTGATCCATTTACTGCCAGTTGAGGGGGTGAGCAAGAATCAAATGAAAATTCTAAAAAAGAGAAATTGTTTTAACGTATAATATTTCTATTATACACACGTGGGTAGTATTTTTATTAATTATACAGGGCGTTTCACGAGAGCACAATAGATTTATCTGTGAAAATAGTCTGATAATAAATCGTTTTCTCGTATGAGTACATAGAGCACCCACTCACTTTACACATTCATGCAGTGAACAGTAAACGGTATACAAGTAAGATCAGTTAGCTTAGGAGACTGAGAGCCCGGATGCTTTGATGAAGATTTCAGATAGAAAGTCAAAAGCTAAGTGTACTCAAATTTTGCGCGGTTTAACCCAAAAATTAGGTGAGTTTGATTTCACACGTGGCAATTGTAACACACCATTTCTCATAAAACAAGCTTCATCTGCACACAACGCTTTGCTGCTCAGAAATTCGGATTCTTTAATTCTCTGGCGATTTTGCTCTGAAATTATTTACAAAACAACTTGGCGGCAAATCGGCGTGGTGTAAATTTTGTACAAGTTGATTTTTTTCAAAATAACTTAAATAACAAAATAACTGGCTACTGTTAATAAAATACCCATCCATTTTTATAAGAAAAGGAAAGTGACGGAAGAAAATGGTTGAATTTATTCCTGAAATGACACAGAGATAGAATTTCTATCAGAAAGCCAACTGGAACGTCCATCCATAGAGCCAAATGCTTTATGTGACACATTTGTTTGATATTTTGGCGGCAGCATTTGAAAATCATCATTATTAAGGTGATAGAGTATTATTCAACGTGGATGAGACTGTATAAGTATTGTTCAGTGTAAAGTCCAATACGTTCTTGCGATTAAAGGTTCGAAGCAGGTAGGAGCATAAACTTCTGTAGAAAGAAGTTCTTTAGTCACAGCAGTCTTGTGTATGAGTGCCGGAGAAACTTTTGTTCCACCATATATGATTTTTCTCAGAAAAAACCACAATGTTTTATTGAAAAAGGGTACTCCTTCTGCTTTAACAATTGTGTGTCATCCAAGTGGATGGATTCAAGCATATATTTTTACACAGTGGTTCCTACATTTCATCGAAAAAGTGAAGCCATAACAAAACGAACCAGTGTTGCTGGTATTAGATGGACACCATACACATTGTCGAAATTTAGAAATGATCAATTTGGCAAGGGAGAATTTTGTTGACATAGTGTGCTTGCCCCCTCATTCTACCCACCACTTGCAGCTTTTGAATAAAACGGTAATGGGACCCTTAAAAACCTATCATAGTGAGATGTTAAGATTATTTTTAAGGTCAAATCAAAGATGGCTTCAGAAAGACTGGAATATTTCCTATAAATCGCTATGTCTTTAACGAAAGCAACTTCCTTGCTGCAGACTAAGAAAATACTGAAAGGGCATAATTAATATGCAGTAGTTGAAAATATTGCCGACAATAGTGTAGATGAAAATGAATTTGTTGGATCCAAAAATATTATACCGGTGCCAACCTTTCAAAAACAGACAGGACCTCGAAGGGGTACGGCACCTGGAAAAACAGCGATTATTACCTCGTTTCCAAAGACGCTTTAGAATTCTTCTATAAAACAAGCCAAAATAGTAAAGCGGAAAGTACTAATGGAATCATTAAATAACCAACAACCATCCTGTAGTTGCCAACATCTACGTAAGACGAAGAAGAAGACAATATTTCAAGATTCCTCTTCAGAATCCGAATCAGTAAGTTTCAAAGACGATTCTTCTGATGATGATGACATGATAGATATTGCAGCAGACAATCCTAAAGAAGAAGATGCTACTTGTTTCTATTGCAATGGAACATTTTTGGAAGACATAAAAGGAGAGAAGTGGATACAGTGCGTTGTCTGCAAAGAATGGTGTCATATAGATTGTTCCGGGTGTGAAACTGATATCTTTATTTGTGAGAGTTGCAAAGACAATTAACATGTTTTGTCAAGGGATAGAAAGTATCTACATCCTAATAAGTTAAAATATAAAAATAAAGAATTTCGTAAAATAGATAGTGTGTTAACAAAAAGAGAAATCATACGATTTCTACCTGGCGAAATCGAATAGTGTTTTATTTTAAATTTTATTTTTTTTTATTTAAATGCTTATTACTGTATTCCTTACTTACATCGTACCATATTGTTGCTACCATTGGCGCTCCATTGTCAGAATGTGCTAGAATGGCAGAAGATAGAAAAACGTGGAGGAACATTGGAAAATTTAGCTAATAGCTTTATGATATTACGATACCTGCATTAGGTTAATGACTAAGAAGAAGAAGAAGACTGTGTTCCTTATTAGGATCACAGCATATTCCATATTAGGTGCAAAATTTCCTTTTATATATGTCACTTTTCGACTCTCCCGGTAAGCAGATTTTTCCATTTTTAATAGTAAAATCTGATATATAAAACATTAATGTGTATTTATGAATAAAGAATCACACATTATTTTAAGAAATAAAAAAATTACAAACCAAATAGAAAACGGTATTCCATATATGGCGCACTTCCTCTAATAGTACCATGAGTATTTTTCCTGTTTTTCCCTACGATTGACTATGGGATCACTAATTGGATAATTTTAGTGTCATCATTGCATGTGGTTGTCTTTTTAAAGACAAAACACATGCTATAATTTTTATGACGGCTATGCTTAAAGTAAAGTTAATTCTATGTATAGTCCTTTTCCATCATATTGATAGCACATTATGTATGCAAATCCTCAACAGGTCAAAAAACCATAGGCGTCACCCTATACTTTGTTTTGAAATAAATAAAAAAAATTAATATTTTAAGATGCCGTCAACAATTCATTATCTTTTAAAAAATCTTCTGTAAAATAAGTGTCCACTAATCTCACTATACCTTTTTTGTGCGGAAAAAACGTCGGTATATATGCCACACAATTATTGTTAATTATTCACGGGTGATTAACGAGAGAATTCAATGTTTCACAAAATAAATTAATGTAAACAGTAATTTAAAGGTGATTACTGTTTTCTATACAAGTTAACACCTGACACAAAAAGAATATCTTCTTTGAACGATTACCTGGAATTACTGATAAGGCTTCACTAATGATAGTTTAAGTAGTTTTTATGCCACATTACAGCTTATTCCAATAATATAAATTAGAAATTGTTTGCATCTTACATTTAGTTTCTAGACGTACATTGTTCATGTCTTACCTACCTACGTTTTTGGTGTCGATATTTTGTTATTTGCATTTAAAAATGACGTCGACAACAGGTTTTATCCCGGTTAAGTGTAGTTTTAAAGGTGCTTTTAGTCTAAGAGAGAAAAATATAATATTAAATGTACACGATGCACTTGTACATCAACGCCCTTTAAGTAATGTTCGTGAAATCGTTAACATGTGTTCCAATATGACAGGGGTTGGAGAAGCAACAATTTATAGATTCCTAAAAGAAAGAAAAGGAGGAACTGTTTCCTGTCCCAAGAAGAGTGGAGGGAGTAAACCCTTGGAAATTGAAGAAATAGATAAAAACATGATAAAACGCAGCGTCCACTCATTTTTTTTAGCAAAAAATTTCCAACATTGGACAAAATCCAAACATTAATTAGAGAAAACGAAGAGTTGCCAATCATAAGCAACAAGAAATTATGGGGCTATTGAGAGAGATGGGATTTCGTTTTCAAAAGAATAGAAGAATATCCGTTTTAATTGAAAAAGATTACATTGTATGTTGGAGACGAGATTATCTAAGAACCATTAAAAAGTACCGAGAAGAAGGGAAAACAATTTTTTATTTGGACGAGACTTGGCTAAATGAAGGTCATACTGTACCACATCTATGGGTTGATACAAATGTGAAAAGTTCCCGTCAGGCATTCATCGAAGATGTATCTACTGGAATAAACAATATTCCTGTTGGAAAAGGACGCAGACTCATAATAACCCATATTGCAAACGAATACGGTTTTGTCAATGGTGGATTATTAAGTTTTGCCTCAAAATCAACCAAAGATTACCACGAGGAAATGACTGCTGACGTTTTTGAAGAATATTTTGAGCAAATGTTGGATTTGATTCCAAAAAATTATGTCATATATAAAAATATATAATTGATGAAATGGCATTAAACCGTGATGTAATTATTTTACGTTTACCCTCATACCACTGTGATCTGAATCCGATAGAAAATATATGGTCTCAAGTAAAGGGTGAAGTCGAACGCAACAACAAAACTTTTAAATTAGAAGACTTACAACAATTATTAGAATATTCGTTATCAAAAGTAACTCCAGAAAATAGGAAAAATAATGTTAGTCATACTCAATAGGAAGAAAATAAAATGTGGAATTTGGATAATATGACTGATGCAATGCTGGAACCGGTAATAATTAAAATTGGAGTTGAAGAAAGCAGTGAATCTGAAATGGAATTTGAATAAAATAATATTCATTTTTTTACAATTCGGCCCCTGTTACGGCCACAAATTATTTTATATATAACCAATAAAATAAACATCTTACATTTCTTGCAAATTCATTAGTAGCTGTTAATCTCCATCACTCCGACACTGGTAACTTTATTTAGGGATTTGTAACCCCCAAAACTATTGTATTCTATTCTGCTCCAACTTTTATACCTGGTGGTCATACTCAATTTAAAATTGTTTTCCTATATACTTCTGTAAACTTGTTGACAAATATCTATTTTTCATTGAGTCACCCGTATCAACAGTTTAAGGATTTGCATACATAATGTGCTATCAATATGATGGAAATGGACTATAATTAAATGAACTATTTTCCAATAAAGTCGTCCTATAAACGCAACTCAAAAATATTGGCAATATCATTTAGTGATTTATCATTAAAGTCATCTACTTCAAAATGTATAAATATGTCTGAATTGCTAATATGAATGAGACAGATAAGATATTAATAGAAGAATTTTTTGTATTACCAAGTAAGAAAAACACAATTTGTTTAATTTATTAATGTTTGTATTTTAAAAAATACAAACTAAAATTTGTGTTAGTTATTATATTT